CTCAAATCCAATTTTTTATATAGTAGTTATTTCTTTGTTAATTTTTTTCATTGGAATTTCTAATCCATAAAAATCATATGCATATTTATGTAAAAGATTCTTCAAATGAGTCTTATATACCCTTTCCAAATTCGCATTATGCACATTTTTAATTGCATGAGGAAAAGGCTGGTGGTAATTTTTGTAATTACAGTGATCAAGAGTATGTTATTTAGAAGGATGTTAAACAAGAGATGACTGTTGCATGATAGGTAATATATTTTGAACAAAGATTTTGTAAATACTGGGAATCATTGTTTTGTTCATCAAAATAGTATAGTATATGCTCATTGTGTATTTCTTTTTCTTTCTTTTGTCTAAAGTCCTTCACAAAGTGTCTTAAGATATTATGTTTGTTTTTCTCTTTAAGGACTCTCCAGACCATCCTGATTTGGCACAGCTGAATGTGATTATCTGCATTGTGGCCAGGTACTTCAACCAAGAAGACCTTGCTGATGACTGGTAGGGTTTTTTTTGGTAAAAGTGAGTAGCAATTTTGTATATTTTCCAAGAAAAAATATGTGATATGAGTGATATTTGCAGAAAATGTTAGATGAATGAAATGACTGATTATATACTATATCGGTTGCGGCCAGTAATTAGGTAAGATGGGCGTATAGATGTATAAGTAAAACAAAAAATATAACCGAGAATGAGCTCATAAACAGATGAGAGAATATTTTTCTATTTCTGTTATACACAGATGTCAATTTATTAACTATTTTTTGCAATGACATTTACTTTCTTCTTTTCAGATCATAAGGACAGTTTCTTGTGTGCAGAGGTATTAAGGAGGAAGAGAAATTTTGTCATACATTAAAAGTTGTATTGTTTAATGGCCTTAAATATATTTTATATATTTTTTTCATGGAATGATGTAAAGTAATCTATATTTTTTCCTTTTGATGAAACCATATGTATTTTGAAAATACAAACATGCTTGTATATATTTTCATTCCTGAACATAGAATGCATTATACCATTTTTCTTTTATAAGATTCAGCTAGAGATATCTGCCATAGAGGAGTGGTTTTATAATCCAGTATTGATTTTTATATTGACATATCTGTTACACATTATATCTGTAAATTCATGACTGTCAGTTCTTTCAAGACAGTTGTGACATTAAATAAATGGGAAGACTCAAAGTTTTATTAATTCATATGCAGTGACTCCAAATCATAATTTGTAAAATAACTTTACCTCATTATTATTATCATGTTTGGATTTCAAAGCATAATATTTGGTTCTTCATGGACTGTAAGTTACTTTGTTATATAATGGAATTGTTTATATGATAGTCATATGAAAAAACAATTTGATATCAGAATAAATATTACATTGGGATTTTTTCATACTAGTTTTATTTATCTATTTTAAATCTATATCATAACTTGGTCAGACATACAGATATACATACTGTTTATATTGTATAGGTCCTTAATTGTTCATGATGGGTAATATCTAGTGATGTCATGGCAAATGGGACTCTGATGCCTTATGTTAAGTATCTTTGCCTTGCATTGATTAGCCTGCTCCAAGTTGTGATCTTTTTTGGTCCTGTTTGTCATGGTGATAATGCAACCCCTTTTATCCTTATTTTCCTAAAATAAGCTATATACCATAGCCAAAAGTGCAGAGAAAGAGAAAAGTAGAGGACTCTGTGAATGTGTTAATTGGTTGAACATTTTGTTTATTCCTTAAAATATGAGAACATGTGATCAAACAAACAAAAGGGTCTTTTGACTTTATCAACTTCATTTCTGGTTTCAACTTTATTTTTGTGTGTTGTTGATGTTGGGAAGCTTAGGAGATGGAGACTGGGACCTGATGCTGAGGATCACCCATACCTTGGGCCTTATCTAATTTTTCTTTTCTTCTCCCCATCTCCATTTCTATCTCTTCTCCAACCCCTTCTGCTATCCACATCCTGAAGTGTTAAAGCCATGTTGAAAGGATGAGAGGCTGACTTTAAGCCAGTCATGAACAGCCTGGGGGAGTCATGGGTATGGTATTCCTCTTTAGTTGTCTAGCCCTTACCCCTCAAGGGAACCCTAAGGAGTAGACTGATTCTCTTCCCAACATACTACAGTCTAGTGATGAAGATTTTGCAGCCTTATTAGGGGCATTGAGCCTTGCCCTTTTATCAACTTGCTCCACAGATTTATATTCTCCCAAGTCTCTGACCCCTGGCTCTCCTTTGACCACGTCTCTGAACACCTACTACTATCCCTACCTCAATACCTATTATCACTTCAGTCCAGTCCAAATCATCTGCCTGGGTCATTACTCAACCTCCAGAAAACATTCCTCCTCCTCCAACATCCTCTACTTCATCTCCTCCACCCCCTACAGCTTTCTTCATCTATTACTCCCTTCTTCCTCATTACTACTCTGCAGCCTTATTTTATCCATCTCTGCAGTACTACCTCTCTCAATACTACTCCATCTTCCACATGTCCCATTCCTTCTACTAAACCCACCTCTACAAACCTTTTGAATACTCTGTTTAGTTTAGGGATCAAATTTTTGTGATCCATTCTATATCCTCTAACTCTGACAACACTCTCCTCTTCCAGAGCCACTCGCCTACTTTGGGGACTATGATGCAGCACCAGTACAATGCTATACCATTCCCCCTAGAGGCTACTGTAATTCCTCCACCCATATTGCCAAGATTACTTTTCATAAACATGACCTTCCCCTTCATGGTTATATTGGAGAGTCCTTCCTTGTCTGACTATAGCAACCTCCCTGTTAGTGTCAGAATTATGCTATCTAGGTTACCCTGCCAAACACTGCCACTCCACAGCAGAATGCCCTTTATGTGCCCAATCTGGTCATGATTAATCAAACTGCTATGCACAATCATGTTCATGTGCAAATTGTGGTGGCTTCCATAGTGTATTTTATTGGGGCTGCCCTACCTACAAGTCTGAGACTCAGGTGGCAATTATCATAGTCAGACTAGGCCTCACTTTACATAAGGCCAGACAGGATGCATGCAGATGAGTTTTTTTTCTCTTACTTTACTCCCTACACCAGTACTGTCCTTTGTTCTGCACCTCCCCTTTCCTCCCAAGGTGTTTCTACATCTCCCTCAGTATCTCTTCCTCATCTCCCTCTCCTAGTCAAATTCTTTTGCCATTATAAATCCACCCCAAATTCCATCACTAACCCTGACATTCCAGTCTCTACTTTGCTGATACCAATCTCTCTTCCTCCTTGTTTAACTCACAGCACAAGACAAGCTAACTGTTCCACCCTCAACTCCTACTGCTTCCTCTCCTATGTCAACCTCTCCCTCTTTCCCTCAACCATCTGTCTCCCCCTTTTATGAAAACCTTTGTTTCTCAGACTTCACTAACCATCTCCAACTATCTAATCATGAGCCAAGATAATATGCCTACATCTCAAGCATTATCCAGTCTCTCTGCTCTGCTCCCATTCTGCTCATAGTAACAGCCATCCATTCATCCTCCTCCTACTCATGTTCCCCTACAACCCTTCCTCCTGACATATTCCATTCCCCATGCTTCATCTGCATCAGCCTACCTTCCTTCCCCATTATCACTTCCACTGCCTGACTGTCATAACCTCCTTCCCTGGATTCTTTCCCTCCTGACTCTTTTCATGAAACTGTGTCTTAATCACCCTTAACCCCCTCTTTCTCCTTTTTCTAATTCTTACCCTAGCCTATTAACATCCTTGCAGAACCCCACTTCTTCATCTGACAATTTTGATCTAATCATTCGTGTTAATTCCCACCTTAATCCATTTATTCACCCTCTCTACCCTAGCTCCTCCTTGCCCCTTTCAACTCCATACTGTCTTGAACTGCTATACATATTTAATCATCAACCTACCCCGGTCTTTACCCTTTTCACTAATACACCTTTCTATGACCTTTGATGTCTAGCACATTTATTTTGCTCTGTAACCATTAACCATTCTGGTCTGACTGATTTCAAATTTTCAAGGATCTGAGCCACTCAGTCCCTCCAGACTTAACCCCTATGATCCAGGTGATGTGACCATCATGTCTCAAAAATATTTGGCTGGAGGAGTGGGTGAAGTGAACAAGCCATCAAAAGAAAATTTGTCTGTGGTCCAGGATGATACGAACTTGCTGTCATGAGCACTTTAGCTGAAGGTTGGGGTGACAAGAAGCACTTACCATGAGTGTACAAAGATTTTGATAATTTAAGGGGCTTTTGAATTATTTCCATCGATAAATGAGTATGGAATGTAACGTCCGTAAGCCTTGCTCAGTATCCTATTTCTGCCAGCTATGAATGGCAGCACAAGTTGTATTACAGAAAATTGAATATTAAAAAAAAAAGAAACAAAAAAAAAAGATAAAAACAAAAGAACAAGAAAATTGGGAAACAAATAACAAAATTTTACTTATAGTTATTATAACTGGTAGTCTATAACTGAGTCTATACAGAGATGATATGGAGCCAATGCAAAGAAAACAGTCTATTGACATCTGGATAAAGCAAATCAAATGACAAATATAGACATTGGAAAATGGTAAAAAAACTGAAAACACTTATGCCAAAGAAAACAAAATAACTTTGCAATGGGGAAGCATGGAGTCTTGTTACCAAACATGTCTTCATTTGCGAGTGGCAAATAAGCCACACAACCAGCAGTGTTCAATCAATTCACCTTTGTAAACATACATAAAGCTAACGCCTGTATTTTGGGCGATATAATGGCAGTGAAGCATCCAAAACCACTTGGTCAATGGAAAGCTATCCCACAGCTTAATATCTTGGGTTAATTTATTATACTTCTAAAGATTTGATTCTTTTCTGTCTTTTATCTGCATGTCTGACTACCTCTCCTTTTAACTTCTTACTTTCAGATAGCACAAGAGGTTCTAAATCATAGATTTATTGATTCTTATAATGTTTTCTTGATGGGAAAAAAGCACACACACACACAAAAAGAAAAACATGTACATTTAAGATACAAATACCATGAAATACATACTCTTTATATAAGACATATATTTGACATGAAAATTTTAAGACAAAACAATAACAATTATAAAACATGGAAAAAAAAAGATAATGTTAATATCTTCCTGTGAAGTGTGACCATGATTCACAAATACTTTTATGACAATGTAATTAATGGTTCCCTGGAATTCAAGAATTGTTCACTTTCAGCTGATTTTATGAACTACTGGTTGAGACTTATTTAACACATCATCAGTTGATGTATAATTTCTTCAATATCACAGATGTACAGATGTAAACACCAAGTATTATTGTTATAAGAAAAAAAAAGAGAGAGAGAAAAAAATACAGGTTGGGATATACCTTTACTTATGTAATAATATAAACATTGAAAAATAATATTTAATCTGGCAACATAATATAAACTATGTAGCTGATCCTCCTCCAGTGCTTGCTTGCTGTTCAACTGGAAGAAATAGAAAAATTATTAATATACAAAGAGAAAAATAAAAAACTGCAATTTCTATTATCACAAAGAAGAAACATTTTTCTAACTGTTTGTTTTGAATATATTTATAATGTTTCTACCTGTGTAACTAGATAATGAAATGGAAATTAAAGTAGTACACCACCTCTAAACATAAAGTATATTGCAAACACACAAAGTTACTTTACAGCAATTCTGTAATTATATAAAAAGTAATTATATATATATATATATATATATATATATATATATATATATATATATATATATATATATATATATATATATATATAAAAGAAAACAATAACAAAAGTAAAAAGACTGAAAATACATGAATTTTATCGGCTATGTTAGTACTTCATACCATATTTACCTTTGTAAGCATACTCCAAAGCGGTGGAAATTGTCCTCATGTCAGATTCAATAGTTGTTGCCCAATTCTGGACATGCCCCACTTCTTTCATGGAATCGGTAAATGAGGAGATGAGACCCAACCACTGAGATGTTTGACGCTGGAAGTTAGTCGCATTTTGCTCAAGCTGGCTCGCCTCGCTATCCAGCCTCTTTTGGTTTAAGTAAGCCTGTGCAACACTAGAATGTAAGACGAGGTAAATGTAAAATGTTATCTCCAACTTCATCTCAAAATAAAAACAAGGTAATATGTGTATATATATATATATATATATATATATATATATATATATATATATATATATATATATATATATATATATATATATATATTAATCTAAGCAATTGCCTGTAGAGTTTGGCAATCTATATCATACTAGATTTTGAGATATATGTATGTATACAGTCACTTTGGACAGTCATTTTTTACAACATAGATTACTTTAAAAGTCAGATAAAAATTATTTTTTTTCGGACAAAGGGTGAAACTTAATTAGTAACTTCATCCCTCTATCTCTGGGCACCTTATGTATCCAGGAACTAATTGAGTTCTTTTGAGATATTACGTAAGATATGATTTCACGTTCAAGGACTAAAACCCATGAAATTCGGCTATATCTATACATACCCAACATTGAGATGATCAACCAGAGCCTGGGTTAGATTGCTGCTAGCTTGGACAGCCTCCTTTCTTCGCCTTTCTGAAATGTACAAAGGCCTGCGTTGAAGCTAAAACTTTCAATTTCCTGGTCATACAAACTTTGTGTTTTATTATTACCCCCCCCCCCCCCAAAAAAAAAGAAGAAAAAAAAAAAAGCCTACATACTTTAAAATGTATAGGTTGTATCAAAGCAACCTGACAAACATAAACGGCTAGCTGCATTAAATCATGCAAATCTCTCTTAAGAAAATGTAGTGAGAAGCAAAGATAGATAATCTTACATAGGCCAATTCCTGCCTGTCCTTTCATGGGGCAGGCCCGTCCTAGCATTTGATCAAAAAGGGAGTCTCGTGACATTACACCCAAATCAATCATAATGATGTGGAATGTAAGGATATATCATTTCCTTCTAATTACATAAATCAAGAAATCCCTATAAAAGCAAGAATGTTAACGTCAAAACAGAAATTCAAATAAAGGACTTGTATGAAGATCAACATTCAAAGGAAACTGTACTTCATTTGCAAATGATAAAAAAGGTATATACTCATGTAAAAATATATACAATATACACAAAAAACAATAAAATGAATAAAAATATTTAATAATTATAATTATAAACAACCATTGTACACTTCAGAAAAAATGCTCTAAAAATAAAAATATATCATACATGCTGTAATAAATATCTGAATAAAGGCAACAATGTTTTTTTCTTATATTGTCTGTTTCTCTACATCTACGGTTACAACAAAAGAAAATAGCTCTAAATGTAAAAGTTAATTCAACAGAAAACTAGGATTAGCATATAAAGTCTCACCTTGTTCTTCCTTCCGATTCTGCTGTCTTGTCTGGTGCTCTTTTACCATACTCGACAACATCCTGGCTATTCAGTCTGCAGTATCTATGCTACCTGAAATACAAAAAGACTCTATGTATATTTGTATGCATATATCTATATCTATATCTATATATATATATATTTCAAGATCGTTTATAGAATGGAAAATACAACATATAGAGGAAATTTCAATAGATACAAAATTTATCTTACAGGTAAACAATTCCAACTGAAAAACAATCTATATCACATAAAATATTAGAAAAGTTACTAGTACTTTATTTAACAAAGTAGATTCTAATTAGAGTACATGCAAATCACACATCATCAAAACTTGTACATTCCAAAAAGTTTTCTTTCTTCCATTCTGTCTTACTTATATGTTTTACTTTTTTTTTTTTTTTTTTTTTTTTTTTTTTTTACCAAGAGAGCCAAATCTGTTTTGTAATGATATTTCTCAGCTGTAATTATGATGGTAGAGACATTTTTTTTTTTTTTTTTTTTTAGATATACAAGACCTACATGTCATTCTAAAACTTCCACTAATATGGGTAGTTATTTTTTGCTTTTCTTTTCCATTTTCTTTCAAAGAATAGAATTTTGAAATAAACCTGTTTGCATAAAAAAAACATAAGGGGCATAGCAAATAGACAAAAAAAGTAATTAACAGTAACACTTCTTTCTGACTGTAAGCCATATCCACTAAGTTTATTTAATCCACTGATACTGGGATGGCATGTACACACATGTCATATATACTGTGATTCTAGTTTATTAGCTTTTTTTAAACAGATAACTCCACAAGCCTGGGGAAATCAGGTGAGGTTTCATAGGTCATATTAACTGACTCCTTGGTGACAGAGTACTTGCAATTTGGAGTATTAAATAGTGAAAGTAAATTTCAAATTATTAACTAGGGTATACTATCACATCCATCCTCTGCTCCATGAGGGTCCTTCTTGGAGAGCCAATAGGCAGGGTCATGGCCAATTTCTACTTCCATATGGTTTGCCCGAACCATGACTTCTTTTCTACTACAGGTCTCCTACATCTACAGTTATCTTTACAGGAGGCACATGATAATGCTCAGGGAGTCAAGGCAAGTGTATCTTTTCTTAGCTATCAAAAGCTCTAGTTTGCAACATTTTGAACAATTACAGAGCATATCCTAGCTCAAGATTATATATATAATAGGTGAAATAACACTTAGTATTGCTACAAAAAACATTTGCAACCATGTTGTGGTAGCAATGAAAAAAGCCGGTCCACACTGGGCATCAGAAGGAGGGGGTTGTGCGACAGTATATGTGAAATACTACAAGAATTTAAAAACAAGAGGCCCTTTTGAAAATGATATGAGCTTAATTGGGACTTCTGGAGAATTTCATAATTATTTGGAGCAGACCCTCATAAAAATAGGGAAAAGCAATGTAATGGTAATCAAGAACACAGAAAAAAACATTTCTTGAGGAAGAAGAAAAAGAAAAAAAAAGAAAAAAAGATGAAGAAAGAAAGGAAAAAGAGAACTATTAGATGGGACTTTAGATCTTTAGTCTTTTATGACATCACAGGAAGTTTCAAATGGCTGGGTATAAAAAAAACCCAGCAATTATCCAAAAGAGCACCCTTTCCGAAAAAAATAACAACGTAAAGACTACTTAGGGTATAGTAAAGGCAAGGTTAATGTTACCGAGAACAATGTACAGAGATGGATATGGAGTTTTAAACATCACACGTACAGATGAAGTGGCCTTATATTTAATGCGAAATAAAGAAAATATCTGATATATATCACCACTCTGAAACATAGTGCTAATAAAGGACGAATATGGGGGGAGGGGGGGAATAAATAGAAGGTAGGAAAGGTTAGGTTTGGATTTTGGGTTCATATGATACTCTGGTTTTGGAACTTCGTCTCTGGAGGGTGCGTTGCTCTCGGTAAAAAACACCAAAGCTAAATCTATAACTGTTTGCCTTGGCCTATGTATTACATAATACCCTAGCCTAGGCACTTTAAACCCTGATGTTGGTTAACAGACTTGACTATAGGTACTTATTCTGGCAAAAAAGAACATGTTAAACTCCCTGATAATTTATCCATTAAGGAACTAAAATGATACATAAGCTTTAATTCAATACCAGTCAAGCTCCTCACACCAACTTCCTAAGCAAAAGAACCTTGAAGATGACACATACATAATACGCCCCTTTGCTTTATGACATAATTAAATATACCTTAAGTCTTTTCAGTGTATAATGTGCAACGGGATTTTCGATTCAGCTGATTCTTGATATCAAATGAAAAAGTAAAGTATTACAATGCAGAATACAATATTTCACTACGTATCTTGTGACCAGATTATCTTCCATATATCATAATGAATGACGATGAAATAAAGAAACCAGTAATTTAAAGGAAGAAAAAGAATCAGAATGAATGAAATGATGAAAGGGATGTATAAATATTCTCCTTAAAACTAATATCTAAGTACCAACAAACTTATAAATTACCATAAACTTGACACAAACACGTACTAACGTGAAACCAAAACAAACTCCTGACACTTGACACCTGACCAGCGTTACCAATATTAAAGGACGTTTTCTGTGTTCAGTGGGATGACACAGAGAACGGGAATTCTAAGGGAGACTAATGTAATGGCATTGCTCGAGGGCGTGTTGCGAACCGCTGTTGTCCCTTGTCATGGGTGCTCCAAGCTTTGTTAAGAGAAAACAACTTCGTTTATCTGACTTATTCTTATCCTTAAAAACAAGTATATGGGAACGAAAGTGCCAAGTGTATTTGTGCTATTTGTCCATCACGCATTGGCATATTTGAATAGTCTTTCAGTTTAATATTCCATAGTTTTCAAAATAATCTCAAGGAGGTGAATATTTTATTTCCATTCAGTCGGGTATGTTTTGGTGCCATAATAATAAGAAAAAGCGGACAAAATACCCAGCAGCAAAATACATGCACCTTCATGCTGAACTTTACTACAACATCAGACAGTCTGAATTAATTATTTTAGGCGAATAAAAGGCTGGCTGGCGAATAAAAGGCTTTAGACGCCAACGAATTCACTAGCGAATTAAGAAGCTTGTCCAAAGGAAATAAAGGCAGAACGACGCTTAACATGATGAAAAGTTTTTTTTTTTTTTTAAGATTTAAATTGTATATACCTTGTAACAGTGTAACCAAAAACATCACGGCGAATTATAGGAAATTAGAGAGGATGCTTTAATTCAGTCAGAGGTAAAACTCAACGAAATTAGAAAGGAGAGAAGAGAAGAGAAACACACACGACATAAACTGCATATAAATGATATCAATGAACAAAGTTGCTTGTTGTATCAAATGTATATAATTGTACATACCAAATACTGAGGAATCTTTCCAAAATGACTATAAAGTCGCATTTTAACAGTTCCTCACCAAATTATACTCAAATATTGAACATAGGAGGTCTTCGATAACGGCAACAAACTGGGATACTATCGAATAGTGCGATTCAATCGTTTCTCAGTCCTTTAGTTTACCCGCTAAAGTATTCAAAGAAAACGATGGTTTTACTCTAATAATAATAGAAAATGTAAAATTCTTCAGGGGACACTATTCTTATATTTATTATATCTTTACTGTATCTTTATTATTATTATTATCATTATTATTATTATTATGATTATTATTATTATTATTATTATTATTATTATTATTATTATTATTATTATCATTATTATTATTATTATTATTATTATCATTATTATTATTACTATTATTATTATTATTATTTTATCCTTTTTGCAGCTCACGAAATATATACTTCTAAGAATTCGCTGGGGAGAGAATTATAATTATTGCATAAAATAGAAGCAAAATTCAGTCCCAAAGGGTGCAGTACAGACTAGAAGAATTAAGAACCAGTAATAACCCCCATCCCTAGAAATATTCACATAAACGCAATTTTACATGCAATGTGAATGGCGTACTTTGTCTATTGAAATTTGAGTGTCTCATACATATATAAGATACGCAAAGTATTATTAAAAAATACAAGATAAAATAGTGTAAATCAAGTCTATATGAACATTAGGTCAGAAAAAAAAAACGTTAGAACTTTGGAAATCCCCTTCGAAGGTTTAATTTCAAGAATTCATATTTAATATTAACTGATTAAATGTAAATGTTCTGATTAAACTTATATAATACATTAAGATCGTTTTACTCATCATAACCACGAAACATTTGTCGAACGAGCTATCAATAATTACCCGGTAATGTTTGTTTTATCTTTAAAATGCATGATAGTATTTGTCTTCCAGAATGATTGTAAATGAAACGAGCAGACGTCAAGAGGAGGACGTAATTACCGCGTGAACAGGCACTCACGAACCGCTAATCAAGAACCGGAATAAGCATCTGTTAACTTTTCCCAAGGACTGAATCACTGAACCGTCTCGTATCCGGAACTTTAGAGTCAGCCGTTTAATCGATATCACGAAATCTTTATCAGACATGGAGTAATTTAGTACAGTCTTTCGAAATTTTACTTATCTCGTATGGTTATTGTCAATATCATCATTTGCATTTTACTTTATTTTTACTTTAGAAGTATTATGACATTTCAGAGTTGCGATATCAGAGTAACGTAATTATCTATCCAACGCGAAAAATATTGATACTGCAATAATCATAATGTGTTTAGGTCTTTCTTTCTCAGTTTAGAAATTGTTGCAGTTCTGATTAATCTAAATTGTTGCAACTTGTACACCTTTCGATAATACACTAAGTTCTACCTCACAATCAAAATGCATAATATGTATATGCTATTTTTCGAGGATATATACTGACAAGTTTCAACACACGTTATAATAATCTATGCAACAAAATTGCACTTGGAGAAAGCACTGTTTAGTTTTGTTGCATAATCAGTCGCCCATACTTTTCAGACTAGACATATAAAGCTTCCATACTTGAATGCCTGATCTAATAGTAATGATGAAAGAAATAACATTAATGATAATAATAATAACAGTGATAATGATAATAATAACAATAATGACAACAACAATGACAATGATAATGATAATAATATTGATAATAATAATAATTATAATAATAATTATAACAATAAAATGATGATAATGATGATAATAATAATAATAATAATAGTAATAATAATAATAACAATAATAATAATAATAATAATGATAATAATAATAATAATAATAATAATAATAATAATAATAAAAATAATAATAAGATTGATAAGAATAATACTGATGATAGAGATAATTACAATAACAATATTAATAATAGTGATAATGATGATGATGATGATGATGATGATGATAATGATGATAGTAGTGTAATGATAATATTAATAATGATAATAATAATAATAATAATAATAATAATAATAATAATAATGATAATAATAATAATTATCATAATAACAGCAGAAACAACAACAAAACTAATAACAATAATGGTGACAATAATAATAGCATTAATAATGATAATAATACTAATAATCATAATAATTATAGTAGTAGTAGTAGTAGTAATGTAATAATAATAATCAGTGATGATAATTAATAATAACAATAATGATAATAATAATAATAAGGAAAGTATTGTCAACAGTAAATAAGATGATCCAGAACAGTTTCTTTAATCATAACAAATTTCCCATAATGATTTCTTTACTTGTTACTTGAAGTTAATTTTTTGTTATAATGTAAAATTCTGAAAGTTTCATCTTAAAGTGATCTTGAACTACTTAGCCCCATAAGGAAAATAATAGTACATAGAAAATAACAATGGTGAATATTGATGAAACATTCTGAAAACAAGCAACACTTCCTGAAAAAAAATCTTGTGAGTGATGGAATTTCAAGATCTTTACATTATTCTTTTTTCATTTTTAAAAAGAAGATTACCTAGGGATTCTTTATTCTTATCATTATTTCTATTTTTTCCTTTATCATTCTCTCGCCTATGAACACTCCTCATCCTTACACTTGTTCTTGTAGTAGTTATATGCGACTGTTTATTTTTCTTTTAATTTATTCTTGCCTAATGCTTATTCCAGTACTTCTTAGTGGCTATAACACCACACCAAATATCTTTAAAGAAGAAGGAGAAAAAAATACAGTTTGAATGGCTTTAACCGATTAATTTCATTTACGGTATTGGTGGCGCCATCTGTTACTTTCCGACGCAACTGAGGCTTAATAAAATGGCTGAATCATCCTTGTTGACGAGTCTTTGTGATAACTGACATCAGACCTAATCTAACAAATCTAACAAGAGATGGAACTAATAAGATCTTAAAAAAAGGTCAATAGTGACGTAACAAATACAACCTTTGGTATTATTGTACTAGGTTACGCACATGCATTGCGGGAAGGGAACGGCAAAGTAGCTCGATGAATGTAAGGAAAATATGCATAAAGAAGTAAGCCGCAAGGATCTACTGAAACTGAAACAAAGTGTCCTTAATTCATACTCAAAACAGCGAGAGAAATATACTGAAACCGAAAAGAAACTTACTGAAACCGAAAGAAAATGAAACCGACATGAATCTTACTGAAACCAAAAAGCAACTGAAACCGGAATGAAACTTACTGAAACCGAAAGGAAACTTACCGAAATCGAAAAGAAACTGAAACCGACATGAATCTTACTGAAACCAAAAAGCAACTGAAACCGGAATGAAACTTACTGAAACCGAAAGGAAACTTACCGAAATCGAAAAAAACTGAAACCGGAATGAAACTAACTGAAACTTAACCTGAAACGCGAACCCCACTCCCTGAAGCTGCCAGCAGAGCCAATAGGTCAATTACTGAGATCACGAGATAAAGCAGATGCAGGCGATGCTAATGCAGCCTCCTACTTAAGCGGTTTTGTTCAGTAAGCCAATAAATAAATAAATAATCCGTGAAAAAAGGCATAAAAAAATACTTGATCTTCTTACAGGATTTTCGAGTTTGTAAGATAAGTGTTAATATCATTATCATCATTATTAGTATTTCTCGTATTCTTGTTACCATTATTATTAACCTCATTATTAATATTATTCTCTTTCTCATTCTCATCCTGACTATTACTACTATTATGCCATTATAACTTCTACTGATACTGCAGTTGCTATCAACGATCATTATTGTTATTATCATCATAATAATCATCCTCATCATTACCATTATCATTATGATGATTATTATTATTGTTATTATTACTATCATTATTATCATTACTAGTATTATTGTTATTATTATTATTATTTCATTATCATTATTTCATTATTGTTATTATTATTACAATTATTATCATCATCATTATTATCATTGTTATCACTATCATTATTATTATTGTTATTATCATTATTATTATTGTTATTATTGTTATTATGTTTCATTATTATTATCATCAGTGTTATCATTATTGTTGATATTGTTATTGTTGCTATTACTATTGATGATGAGGATGATTCATGCTAACATTTTTGTCACTATCGTTATCAATAAAGCATTGTATGTTTCCTTCTATCATAGTCTCTTTGCTGTTTTATAAAATTGATCG